GGGAGTTTGAGCCTAGTGAAGAGTCGAATTGTGTGACTCTCGGCCTAAGTGGTATATCGGTTCCAGAGGCATATCATCATCATACGTGACTTCTCACATTAACATGTCTACGTATGCGCAGATTTTAATCTAGTTGTACTTGCGTTCACATGACTACCTCCTAGTTTTTATATATGTAGTATCGTAATTAAAAAAAATTGAAATTAATTTTGGAAAAACAAATACTCATAAAGTCTTTGCTTCTCTGTTTTAATTATTTACTTGCTGATTACATGGATAATGATTTATATAGATCTGATTGTGATTGTGATTCTCTACTCATCTATAAGTGTATCATCATTTTGAAATGTTAGAATCGCCTCGTACTAATTATAAAGATAATCAACTCGAAACAAACAAAACAAAGTTCAAAATATATAATTAAAACTATTTAATTAATCTAATGGAACAGCAAATATCTGATAATCAAAATTCTTTTGCGATTCAAACGTGCATGCACTAAGGTGAACTTTTCTTGGAACCACATAGTGAAGAGATCACGTATCACGTCGGTAAGGCTAATTTTGGATTAGTTCTTACGTTTAAAATGGAAAAAACGTAGTATAAATGAATAATGAGGTTTGGTATAAAATAAATAACCCAAGTAAACCATGGGCAAATGGAATAAGAATATTAGCTTTGAATTTTATGTTTTGTTGCGAGTAAATTTTATTAAATTTTAGAGGGAGGCTACCTAACACTCCTGGATATCGTGCTTCCTAACTCCCCTTCAATACCGAGGTCTTCTTGTTAATTATTTGTACCAAACTATTTGAATTTAAGATTTTAAGGTGTAATGATTTAAAATTCCTCTTCCACCAAATTTGTTGAAAATTTTTATAAACTAATACATCGCATTTAATAGCTCTTGGTAATATGATAGGGTTATGAATTGTAATGAACTTTGAGAATTTATACATTAGTCTCAAAAACAAATAAATAAATGAAACTTGATTAGTGGGTTAATAAAAGAATATAGGTCGTGCCGGTCAACTACATTTAGCGTCTCATAATGTTCTAATAAATGAGCCTTAATTAATTGAATGGCTAACGTAACTGTTAATTAGTTTTTTTTTCTTCCATATGTGAATGATACTAAAAGTTAGTACTCCCTCTGTTTCATAATATATGATATTTTACCTAAAAACACACATTTTAAGAAATTTAATTTTGTTTTTAAAACTATCATTTAATATTTAATTTTAAAAAGTTCAACCAATGATATAAAAGACTGAAGAATATAAAAGGTCATAAAATATCAAATGTATTTAAAGTTGCATAGAAATTTGTAAAACATCCTATATTTTGAAACAAAAAATAAATTCTAAAACATCCTATATTTTTGAAACAGAGGAAGTAATTTTTTAGAATCAAGTGGCTTTTTAGACTAAATGAGATTGAATTGATTATTGATGGTTATTGCTACATCGAATTAAAAGTGTTCATATATGATTCTTTATAAATGTGGTAACGGAAAAAGACAATACCTCGTAGTACAAAAATCTACACAAAAATTATTATACTCCCTCTGTTTCACAAAGAGTGTCGTTTTAGAGTTTTGCACACAGATTAAAAAAACATTAAATTTTTTATTTTTTCTAAACAAAAACATCATTAACTATATATTTAAACACAATCTGCCCAATAGTAAAACAATCTGCAGAATACTAATAGTCATAAAACATAAAAAATCATTAAATTTTGTATTGAAAACCTAAAACGACACTCTTTATGAAACAAAAATAAAACCTTAAAACACACTCTTTGTGAAACGGAGAGAGTATTAAGTATTGCCTTGAGTAATTAGACAAACAATCGCACTATATATGTAGGAGTAAAACCGTAAAACTTCATACAAAACTATCGCAACAAAATATAAACGACGTCGACGATCGAGAGAGACCGAGTCAGATTTTTTTACAAAAGCAAAAACAAAAACCGAAATAGAAAACTAAGTGGGTCCCTTTACCGGTCACCGTCGCGTTGTGTTTGGTTGATGATGTTCAGTGACAAAGATCAAGTTGATGAGAAGCCAAATAGGTCCACTATCACTAACCCGACCCAACCAAAGCTAGCCCGACCCATTTCATCTTATTCTTCAATGTACTTAGACACGTGTTTCGCAACACGTAGAGGATAATGTAAGTCGTGATCATGAAACAGCACTTCGCAATTCTGACTAGGATTTAGGATATATACATCCGAAACACAATTACATTATGCACTTAAGTAATAACAAACTGAATAGAGCTCATATCTATAATTGTTTTTTTTAATTAACAAGCATGTTTTTCAGAATTGAAAAAACAAAAAACAAAAATCTTATTTATTTGGCAGATCCATACACGTAAATATGCATGTATTTAGCGTTTTTTTCCCTTAATCGCTAGGTATTTGGCAGTTAATTGCATGTAAAACTCTAGAAAAAATAAAGACCGCATCCAAACTTCTATTTAGTCGCGCATAACCTAACAAAGTCAAATTGGGTTTGGCTGAATCAGCCTGCTGCAATATCTAACTCCTAATTAATCAGCCTTATATGTGGTTCGAATTTCTATGGTATTGTTGATAATTATAAATGCTGACGCACGTTTGTGAATTTGTGATAACACACAAGAAAATAAATTATTGCATATCGGCCAACACCTAAATTTTGAGTGGGCTTTTCACCTCACTTGATTGCCTTGCTGCTATTTGCCCCACCACTAGTGCTCGATCGTATATACACGAACCAAAATAGAAAAGAAAAAGAAAACTTAAACTTTCCAAGCATGCAAAAATTAACAAATAGAAAAAAGAAAAAAAAAATCCAAATATGATAAAATAAAAATGTTAAGGAGGAGCTGACGAATTTACAACAATAATCATTTTTCTAATAGAACTCATGTATTGAAACAAATAATATTTATGAAGAAATGAATTCAAACGCGTAAGAGTTTTTATCAAGATCGTTGATGCATGTCTCTCGCATGCTCGTTAGGTTTTATACACAAAACATAAACAAATAAATAGAATTCTATTATTCATTGATATGATATCATATTATATAACACAAGATCAATACAGAAAATCAAGAAAATGTCAAACACATTACACAATAAAAGATGTCAACGCAAAGGCTACCGAGTCATCCGGTAACCTAACACCCTTTTATATTAAGGGACCTACATTAACGCGTGCATTTATATAAATATACGTAACCCAACCATTTCATACAAGAGAGAGAATCGCATTAACAAAAAAACAAACGAATCTTTTTGAGTTTAAACCCTTTTTCACTAACCGGAGAAATGGAGAGATCAACGCCGGAACATGTCTCCTCCGCACACAAGCGCCTAAGTGTGAGCTTCCTCGTATCTCTCATGGTAATTTGTGCTAGACACGCAAGCAGAGTTTCCAAGAAGCTTAAACCTAAGACGAGTCGGAAGCAAACTCATCTC